GGTGGGCTCTGTCAGGCGCACCGCCGGCGTCGTCCTGCGCATGTGCAGCTCGTCCAGTGTGCGTGTTCGCGCACGCGCAGTGCCGCCGCGCCGCTCTCGCTTCCTGTCCGTGCCCAGGTCACCGCTGGCCGTGCTTCCCAGGCTTCGGCCTCAGGCGGGCAAGGACCCCAGGGCCTGCGGGGCTGAGCGCCGTCCGTCCGGGCCGGCACCCAGCGGGCGCAGAGCTGTGCGGGCCGGGCGGAGTCTCGAGCGGAGACCCCCAAGCGCGAGCCCCGGAGCCCGCGGGCTGGGCCGGAGGGGCCGGGCGGCGGCGGCGCAGAGCGTTGGGATCGGGCCCGGCCCGTTTGCACCCGCGGCGGCCCGGCCGAGGTTCGCGGGACGGTGAGGCCCCAGGCGGCCGATTTGGGCCCCGAGAGGGTTTTCGGCCCGAAGTGAACTTGTCCCGGAGGCCCAGATCCGGCTCCTCGGGAACGGCGGCCCCGGGAGGCGCCGCGCCAGCTCCGGAGCCCTCGGGAGCCTCGGGGCAGCTCGGCAGGTCCCGACGAGGTAGGTCGTGGGCTTTCGGGTCTCCAGGCGGTTGTGCATCTTGTGGGCAGCGCCGCAAACCGAGGGCGCGAGCGGCGGCCAGGGAGGGATGGGTTCTCCCCGGGACTCGTGGGGCCCAGGTTTCCTGGGAGCGCAGGGGGTCCCCGCGTGGGCTGCGGACGTTCTGTGTCCGCTCCGTTCTCCAGTCCCGATACGCCTTGCTCCGCGTGCCGCCCTCTCCGGCTTCCAAGCGGGTCTCTAAGCGCCCCTGAGCACCTGTGCTGTGTGCTCTACGTGTGTGCCGACCGCGCCGGGCTCTGCCCTGTGGCATCCGCCAGTGTAGTGCAGGACAAGCCTGAGAGGGTTTGCTGCTGCTGCCGCCGCGGCCGCTGGGGTGACAGAGGAGGAGGTTGGGCCTGAGAAGGGAGGTGGCTCTTGGAGGGTGACCGAGTCTATGGGTGGGATTGTGGATGCGACTCAACTCCTCGGCCAATGTGCTGTCCACTCTGTTACATTGTAAGTCAAAGTAAGTTTCTTAACAAAAGATCCTTTTGAGTAGCACGTTGAAGTGTCTACAAATGATTTAAAGACAGCCATGCGGGTGCACATCTTTTTACTCAGACCATCCTGCATCCTGTTCTGATCTTAAGTAGTTAAAAGCATGACTAGAAAATAGATGACTGTAACAGAATTTCTTTTTGTATCTTCTTTTGAGTGATGGAGGTTTATCTCAATAGGATACAGTGTTCATTCTCTAATGAGAAACACATCCACTCAGTGACCACATAGTCAGGTGCCAGTTGCAGACAGGTGGGTGCTCCCTCCTTATTCTTCCAGTTAACGTCTGAAGATTTAAAGGGACAGTTCCCCCACAGGTTTCTTCCATGGAACTTTCCAGGAGAGCACTTTCTTGGCAGTGGAGAGCACATACACCTTCATTGCTTCTCTTTTCTTTCCCCAGGTCTGCCCCTACTTTCACTGTTGCCCATGTTTTTACGAGAGGAGCAGAAGATGAGTAGATCTGTGGTAAGTGTTTCTGTTTAATGTATTTATTCCCCACTTCTTTTTATAATATCCCCTAGGAGATGAATAGTTTAGACTTTAAAGGGGAAGGTAGAGATAGAAAAGAGATATGATTGGTCAGACACGGAGTACCAGAGTGGCAGCAAGCATTTCTGTCGTGTTCACATGTGT